GTGATGAGAGTTACTCCAAAACCACTTCCATGTACCTTCCTTCTGTTTCATAAAATTATATATTTAGGGTGGAACTGTTCCTGTTTTATTATTTTTATTTCTGTAAGGAACTTATCTGTTCCTACCAGTAGCCTACAAATGGAAAGCTGACCAAGTCCCTAAATCTCATCTGGGTCATTTGGTTTACTAAATGCACAGATTACCTGAAAACTTATTGGGTTTTGAGTGGTTTGGACAGGTACCTCAGAAATCAGGATGTCAGTCTTTGGAGGACCCTTATTTCCCAGCAATCCATTTTTCCATTCTTCACATTTCAGCACACAGCTAGCTGCAGGTATGCCTGGATACTGCAGGAACATTCCTGCCTCTCCACATCTCTTCCAGACCTCTCCTTTTTTATGTGTTTTGTTTTTTTTTTCCAAAAGCTGTCAGATACAGTTCTCCTAGCCTCTTCCTGTACTCTTTGCCTCTAGAAAATGAGGTCAAGAGGCACTACAAATGCCACCCAACAGGTTCGGAAAGCCCAAAGTGCTCTTACATATTCCTGTAATCACTCAGAGGAGCAGTATAAGACAACTGCAATGGAGCCCAAGAAGACCCTGGTGCTGCAAAGCCTTGGTGGAAAGGCTTTGACGTCAGCAAGAGATTTATTTTCTACAGGCCTTAAGGGATGTTGCTTTGCCCCCTTATTTAAGGCAGTGTTGAGGTCCAGCTGACTTTGTATTAGTGAATCATCTGTGCGCTCCCAAAGGGCAATTTCAACTAAATCAAATGTGATGAACAATTTTTAGGAACAACAAAAATCTGTATTTCCTAGGGACAATGTCCTTATCTGAATGACAGTCACAAGGGGACCAAGTCTTAAAACAGGGATAAGACTCTGTTAGGTTACTTTTCTACCAAATATTGTCAGACACTCACCTTGCACAAGGGAAGGCACTTCAGGATTCAGTACAGGGAGATAAATAATGCATTAAATAATGTATTTTCCCTTCTGAAGCCACTGCTCTGCCCATTAAACCACAAATCTTCCCAGCACAAGTCTCAGTCTGATCAGTTATTGACTTAGCACAGCCTGTGGGCACACAATGGGCAAGGTGGAATCTTTGCCCAAATGCTGTTTTCAGGGTCTCCCATATCTCAGAGCTGCACATTTTTTGAGTGCAGCTGAGCAGCTGCAAAACCAAATGCAAATGAGATGTTAATTAAGCAGGAATAGGAGAAGTTGTCTGTTTTCTTTCTTCAAGTTCCAAAGCAGGTGATCTGCTTTACCTCCGTGATGCCTTGGCACTTTCTTAATTCTTTGTACCCTACCCTGTAATGAAATGACTGGAATTAAAAGCTCAGCACCTGTGAAAATATGGACCAATTATTTTTAAAATCCGTCAGTGAGTGCCTATCAAGGAGCTTTCTGACAGCAGCCGTGTTGTTTAGAAAAGGGTTTATGTGGCACAATAATTATGTCAAGTTGTCCCAGCTCTGTGGAGACACAGCATACAGAAATGGCTTTGAATGTGCTTCAGAAACGCAGCCTGTCACGTTCTCCTTCCCAGCAGCACTTTCCAAGGGTGCTGCAATGGGAGGGAGATGACAGGGAAATGCTGGTGCTGGTGTCAAGGCACAATCCACACTGAGTTGATGCCAGTGGTGGTGTCATCCACAGTGCCAGGAGAAGCCATATGATTAATTATGAAGTAATGACAGGGCATTTCACTGTTTCAGAGGTGTTTGTTTGGGTGTAACAGCATGGTGGTTTTTAAAAAAAGCTACTTTTCTCACTCTATCAGGGCTTGCATGGAAATGAGACTTAGCAAGAAGATGTCACACCACTGTTTGCCTGCTGAGAGCTCATAAACAGCCCAGGAGCAGGGGCAGCACAACCCAATGGAGGGCAGCAAGCAGCAGAGACCTGTGCAGGGTCTGAAGGATCCTCTTCCACAGACACAGCTGGCAGCACCTGCAGAGCTGCTTTTTTTTGGGTAGCAGGGCATCCCTCTATATTTTGTGGCAGGGGCTGTAAGACTTCCAGCTGTGCAGGTTGCCCTCCTAAGATTTCCATCCCTTGTTGGCAGCGGGCAGGCACAGGCAGCTGCATCACAGCTTAGCAGAGGAGCAGCCAGCCCAGGCTGCTCCTGCAGCTCTCTTGCGAGCCCTAGTGATGGCAGGAGCTGCCTGCAGACTGAAAACAGCCCTGTTCTCACAGGCGACCCTTGCTAGGAAAAACAGGGAAATGTTTCATTCCTGTGCCAAGCACGTTTCTCTTTCCATCCTTCTCTTCTGCTTCTCTTCCCTGAGAAGCACAAGTGAACATCAGCATCCTCCACGACGGTTTTCAGAGCAGAGAGACTTGTGTTGTGTTTGTCCCTAAGAGATAAGAGGGGGCCAAGACAAAAATAAAAAAGGGAAGGAAGTGCTGGTTGAAATAAAAATGAATAGTTCTTCCTCTGACATCCAAATTCCCAAGACACTTGCATTCTGGAGTTGTGGACCTTGTGGCAGAGCCATTTAGTCCTCCTTCCACCAAGAGCACTTGCTTCCATCCAATGGGAAGTGGCTGTGTGGAGCAAGGACAGGCTCCCAGCTGCTGTCTGGAACATGTCTGCAGTTCCCAGCTGGAAACCTGACTTTCTACTAGACCTCAGAGTGGAAGCAATGTGACGCTGTTGTGAGGTTTGTTTGTTCTGTACAGTTTTTTCCTGCTTTTCACCACATGTTCACATTAGCCATTTGAAATTGGGATGCTGAATAATGATACACACGCAGGTAGCCCTGGTGACTTTTTTCTCAAGTAATGTTTTTATAGGTGCAATTTTACTTTACAGAAGTGTCAGGTTTAATGAAAAAAACAAAAAACTGGTCGTTCATATCCAAGTTCATATCTACAGGTAGATGGTGAGAGGGAAAGCAGAACATGTGACACGTTTCTTAACTCAGCAGCTATCTGATGTACTGTGTCTGGATTAGAGCAGAATTACTTTTTGATCCGAGATCCATAGTAAGTGTCTGGCAGACAATGTTAAGGACTACATCTGTCTGATTCGTGCTCCTGGTGAAGGTGCCTCTGTCCTAAACACTTCAAATCAAAAGACAGTTTGTTTAGATCTTCAAATCCAGCAGCTGTCTCTCATTAAGTGAATTGCTGAGAGATGTCAGGATATTGCTTCTGGACTTTCTGAACAACTGACATTTAATTCAGACTTTTTCTCTCCCATCTGATGAAACTGGAATGAGAATGACAGATGAAGAACAGAAACCAGAATCAGACAAAGTTCTGAAATCATGTGTGTACATGCAAACATATCCTGCTACTTTTTATATTAATCTTTGGGAGTTGTTTTACATTTTCCACATTTTGCTTGACATGAAATGGATACATTTAGAAACAAAATTTTTACCTGATGGTGTAAGTTTTGGTCTTGTGTAGTATTGACTTTTATATTTATGTTTATCATAGGATCATGGAATAATTTATGTTGGAAAAGACCTCCAAGACCATCAAGTCCAACTTTTAACCCAGCACTGCTAAATCTGCCACTAAACCATGTCCTTAAGCACCACACTCAAAAATCTTTTAAATACCTCCATGGATACTGACTGAATCACTTCCTTGGGCAGCTTGTTCCAATTCTTGACAACTCTTAGGTAAAGAAATTTGTCCTAATATCCAACCTGGACCTCCCCTGGTGCAAACTGAGGCTATTTCCTCTTGTCCCGTCACTTGTCACTTCTTACCTAGGAAAAGAGATTGACCCTCACGTGCCTACAGCCTCCTGTCAGGCAGTTGTAGAGAGTTATAAGGTCCCCCATGAGCATCCTTTTCTCTAGGTTAAACACCCCCAGCTCCCTCAGGTGCTCCTCAGACTTGTGCTCCAGACCCTTCCCCAGCTCCACTGTCCTTCTCTGGACATGTTCCAGCCCCTCAATGCCTTTCCTGCAGTGAGGGGCCCAAACAATCCCTGCCCTGGCCCTACTGGCCACACTATTGCACACAGATGCCACTGACCTTCTTGGCTACCTGGGCACGCACTGACTCATGTTCAGCTGCTCTTGACCAGTGCCCTCAGGTCATTTTCTGCTGGGCAGCTTTCCAGCCTCCTGCCCCCAGCCTGGACCACTGCATGGGGATTGTTGCAACCCAAGGACAGGACCTGGCACTTGGTCTTGTTGAACCTCATACAACTGATCCAGCCCATTGATCCAGCCTGTCCAGATCCCTCAGCAGAATCTTCCCACCCTCCAGCAGATCAGCACTCCCGCTCAACTTGGTGTCATCTGCAAAGTGACTGAGAGTGCCCTCGATCCTCTCATTCAGATCATTGATAAAGACATTAAATAGAATTATCTGCAGTATTGAGCCCTGGGGAACACCTGACTGACTACCAGCTGGATTTAACTCCACTCACCACCACTCTCTGGGCCTGACCATCCAATAAGCAGTGCAGCAGTCCAAGCCATGGAAATCCAGTTTCACCAGGAGAATACTGTGGAAAACCATGTCAAAGGCCTCACTAAAACCAGAGTAGACAACATTCACAGCCTTTCCCTTATCTACTTGGAGGGTCACTTTGTCACAGAAAACTTCAGTTAGCTATTATCACGATAAGACAAAACGTCTCAAACATTTATATGTATTTCTACTGTAATAAGTGAGACAAACATTCAAAAAAAAAAAAAAAAAGAAAAAAAAAGTACTCTGAATATGATAAAGCAAACCTCTAAGTCTTTAAAGATACAGAAATTTTCCATATAGATATTACTGGGTCTGAAAAGACAGATTTTCACAAGGAACTTTCAGAACTGATAAATCTGAAAGTTTAGAATTTCCACCTAGTTCTGAGCCAGCTTCTTTTTTCATTGCCAGTGTCTGGCCTAGCTGTAGAAATGGAGCAACAAATCTGTTCTTCCTGGATTTCTAATTGCCACAGTCTTCTGTGTCTGGCAAGGGTACTGGATTTATCTTCAGGAGTGAAATGTGAGTAGTTTGGAGACAAAACAGAGTTGAACAAAGACCTCATTTTGTCTTTTAATACAGGCAGCAAGAGGTTTCCCACTAATTTAAAAAGAAAAAAAAGGTGGATCTATATAAAGCTCTGGATTTCATCTAGGCTTACACACAAGTGTCCAGGCAGACAGCTCATCATTCCAGGAAAAATCACTCAGTTTACTCTAAAATGATTGTGAAAAGACAACCAAAGAAACAAAAATATCAACTTCACCATCTGTCAAGATTATCCATTTTGTTGCCATGACCATACTGTGCCTTACCCAGTCATAATCCAGCTCCTGGTTCAAATCACTCATCAGAGATGCTCAAAATAATATATAGACATTCATTTTATCTCTCAAAACCTGTATCTGGAGAGCATAAAATGACAGATAGACAAAATGAAGACAGAGAAATGCTAAGTTCTCAAAGGCATTTGCCTTCTCATCCCTTAAATCCATGGAGGGGATGCTTGGTCTTGGATCCCAGATGTGCTTTCCAGATGATCACCTTCTCCTTACAGGGGGACACTCTCCTCAGCTCATGTGAATTGTGTTCAGCCCATAGGATCCCAGCTAAAAATCTCCTCAGGTTCTCAATACTATCTCCTATAGTCAGAAGTACAAGGGCAATTCAATCAGTCCAGGAGATTCTGGGTGAGGCACCCCTTTGTCCTGCCTGGTCCCACAGGGATGACAGACCATGCAACAGCCTGGGGGGCTGATCCAGGCCTCTGTCAGCCCTTGGACAACCAGTTGCACGTTTATTTTAATAGAAGAAAAATAAATACAATGAAAATTTCCCTCCTTCTGAGAAAAATTTTATCTTTGTCTGGGTAAAATGTTTCCGTGCAATGATACATAATATGACTGAAAACACCCAACAACCAGTGATATTTAAAGTCAACCACAACCTTTAACACATAAATAATATAAATAATACTTAAGATCTAATGAGGTATTTTTGCTTTCCTGGTAATTTCATAAAATCAACTCAGAAGTCTTCATAACTACCAAAAAAGTGTTTTAGAGATAAGAAAATTCATGAATTATATATGTTTAAAAGCCCAGTTTAAGGACAAAAAGCGACTTTTAGCTTTTTCTGGAAAATATTGAATACTTGAGTTGTCATAGCAAAATCTGCAGTTATACCATGAGTAAAAAGCCTGTATATACAAATGCAAACATTCACTTGCATATCTACAGAGAAGAGGGAGGATGAACATAACAACACTTACCAATTTGTAAATGTCCTACAGAGATGTGTAGGGCAGTGCTACCTGGCTGGCAGCTGATTTGAAGGTGAGAGGCACAAGCCCTTGTTCTTTATTCCTTGCTGCAAACCAAACCTAGAAACTGCTGAAAAATAGCCACAAAATGGATATTAGCAGGTAGCGTGAAGGTCTGCTTATAAAACCAGCCCATAGTTTAAAGTAATTGTTGGCTCTGTTCCTCTGCTGGGATTCATCTTCTACTAAGTTTAAGTCTGTCAGAGTCAGTTTGATATGTTTAATCACAGTTTATTGTAAAAATCCCAGAGTTTCTTTCAAAATATGAAGCCTTGTCTCAACTACTCCTGTTATCGTTCATTATTTTGGTTATCCATTGGCACAAGTTTTTATGTGTTCATAATAAGCTGTTTAATGAATTTCCAAGATGCTTTGCTATGCAGCCTTAGGCCTGGATAAATTTTTAACTTTTTCATATTTCACCCAGCAGTTTTGGGTGGGTTCTTAGACTGCTAACCCAGAACTTTTTTTCCCCCTCAAATGTGAGCTGTTCTGGAGTTCTGCGTTTTTCCTGCTTTCCCTCTGAGCCACGTTTTCTCTAACAACCAGATGGCTGCTAAAAAACAGGGAGGCCTTTAGGTGGTCTTTATGACTAATATTTTAGTAGAATGGTACAGTTTCTTATTAGATGATCAAATAGAGATTATGTCAGGATACAGAAAACATGCAATTAACTAATAAGCAGTGACTGAAAATATAACCTTGCATTTTAAAAATTTGTTTTCATTTCAATCAGCTGCTTATAGCTGGAACAAGAGCAAATGACTTTATAACACATGTTTTTAAATCTTTATCTTGTTCATAAATTATGGTCTTTTACAGTACTACTCAATAAGTACATTGAACCAAGCTAGTCTTCTGAAGCCATATTTTTAAATTAATCAGAAATAATGTCCTGTGATCCAGTTTGAGATGTGAGAACTACCATGTTAATTCACTGACTGAAACAGCAAAATAATGCTTATTCTACAAGTAGATAGTTACAGCTTCATGTGAAGGCTGCAAATCAATTTAATAACCCTCCCTGGCACAGGTACTCCTCAGTGGAGCATCTAGCAGCTGCCTAAACTGGATCTGTGACCACCTGATCAGTCTTATAAGTGGGCAAAGTAACACAGAAAATACTAAAGTGCTACAAGGATAGAAGTGTAAAATGAAACAGATGGGATATAGTCATTCCACCTCAGTGGAAGATTCAAGACAAAAACAAAACAATAAACTAAACAAAATTGCTCTTTGGAGTTCTAAATTAATCTTATTCTTCCAGATTGCTGAACATAAAGACCATTCTCCTATAATATACCTACTTAAAAAAACCAAACGCAAACCAAAGGTAAGATTTCAAGAGCTGGCAATTTTAATTTGTATGGTTAAGATTAATGGATATGTCATTTGCTTATACAACACCCCATATTTGTAGTTTAACATTCCAAATATTCTTTTAGAATATTTACAAGGAAAAATAAAGTACAATTAATATTTGTGATTTTGATGGGTGGACACCATGTGCCCACCAAAGTTGCTCTGTCACTCCCCTCCTCAACTGGACAGAGGAGAGAAAAGAGAACAAAATGCTCATCAGTTCCATCATGGAAAAACAGGCTTGATTTGGGGGAATTAGTTAAATTTATTACCAATCAAATTAGACCAGGATAATGAGAAATAAAACCAAATTTCAAAACACCTTCCCCCCCACTTATATTTGTAGAGATGACTCAACACATTAAATTTTGGCATGGGTTTCCTGTTATTTTTTAGAGATACACACACACACCTATTTCCTGCTCTGAAAAATAAATTGTACGGTAAGATATTGCTCTGCTGTGTCATTGCACTTTCATATTATTCAAATCCCCAATGAGGCTGCTGATTGAATGGAGAACTGTATAAGTCTCAGAGAAATTTAGGTATGCTTAGGATACCTAGGGGCCAGCAAACAAAGATTTAGATATAGCCTCAACAATGCATGCAGAATGTCTCCAGGCATTCCCAAGGGTAGGAGGCAGTCCCCCACCCTTTCTGAGGCAGCCACATGGAAACAGAGCACTCTAGAGCTATAAAAATACTGATCATATATCATAGCAGGGTGTCCCTGTGGCAGCAATAATTGGCATTGACTCTATGATTCCAGAAGGCTGATAAATCACCTTATTTTATTTGATTATACTATACTATACTATATTATACTATACTTTAATATACTATACTATACTATACTATACTATACTATACTATACTATACTATATTATACTATATTATACGATACTATACTACACTATTGATAAAAACTCATCACTCTTGCAGGCAGACAAATACAGACAGACCAGACTGGTCAATGAAATCTGAACAGCATCACCAGTGGCCAATTAAGAAATCATCCTTTGGTAAACAGATCTCCATAACACATTCCACATATGCACAAGAACTGGTGCAGGAAGTGAGATCAGAATTGTTTCTCATTCTTTTCTCTGATCTCCTCACAGCCTTCTCCAGGACAATGCCTGGGAAAGTTGTGCCTGCTGCTCTCTGTGGAGAGAGCTGCAGCAACAATCATAGGGTCATTAAGGTTGGAAAAGGCCTCTGAGATAGTCAAGTCTGACATTTGACCAAACACCTCCATACCAGCTAGACCATGGCCCATGTGCCACGTCAAATCAAAGGGACAAAGGAACAATCCCTTCCCTGATCCTGCTGGCCATATTATCCCAGATACACAGAGCAGGGTGCCACTGACCTGCCACTGACATGGGCACATGCTGGTTTGTCTTCAGCTGCTGTCAACCAGCATCCAGGTCCTTTTCTGCTGGGCAGCTTTCAGCCACTCTGCCCCAGCCTGGAGCACTGCAGGGGTTGTTGTGACTCGAGGGTAGGACCTGGTACTTAGCCTTGTTGAATATCACACAAGTGACTTCAAATCATCGATCCAGCCTATCAAGATTCCACTGCAGAACCTTTTTACCCTCCAGAAGATAAATACTCTCACCCAACCTGGCGTCATCTGCCAGCTGACTGAGGGTACCCTTGACCCTCTCACCCAGATCATCAGGCAACATATTAAACAGAACTTAACTCTCTTCTGAGCCCTGGGAACGCCACTGTTTGCCATCTGCCAGCTGGATGTAACTCCATTCACCACCCTTCTCTGGGCTGGGCCATCCAACCAGTTTTTAACCCAGCCAAGAGTGCAGCGGTCCAAGCCATGGGCTGCCAGCTTCTCCAGGAGAATGCCATGGGAAACAGTATAAAAGGATTTACTGGAGTACAGGTAGATTACAGCCACAGCTTTTCCCTCATCTAAGTGATGGGTCACCTGATCATAGAAGGACTTGAAGAAGGCTCAGCAGGTCACTAACTACTTCCTCCTGGATTACAGGGGGTCTAGCCTCCTCCCCATCCCTGTCTACCAGCTCAGGGGTCTGCTTGTCCTGAGCATATCTGTCTTGCTGTTGAAGACTTAAGCAAAGAAGGTATTAAATACTTCAGCCTTTTCCTCCTCCTCACTGGCAATAAAGTATAGAGATATTCCTTAGCCCTCCTTTTGTTGATGATATATTTATAAAACGCTTTATTATCTTTCACAGCACTGCTTAGACTGGGTTCTAGCTGAGCTTTCACCTTTCTAATTTTCTCTCTACATGACCTAGCATATTTGAATTCTTTCTGAGTTGCCTACCTCTTCTTATGAAGGTCATAAACTCTCAGAAGATCTCTTCCACACGCTCCAGGAGCCTCCTAGACTGCCTTCTCTCTGCTGTGTTGAGTTTCCAGCAGACGTCTGACAAGCTAAATTTTCTCACAAGAACAGGAACCAGAGATCATGAAATGTCAGCCTGCCACTTATAGAATACCTTGATTGCACCTTCACTGGGATTAAATCTTCTGGGGAATAAACTTAGCCACTGATAGCCCACATTTCCTTGCAGGGCTGGGTTGTGGCAGCAAGCTCAAGAAACCACTGAATGAGAGCCCTGCAAGTGACTGCTGTATGAGCTGGAGGTATCAATTGTACATGACAGCATGGATTTCACTCTGAAACACATCTATTTTTTTGAGCAATGACTACTTCAGTTCAAATCTGCAAAACGTCAGCTTTCCTGGAGGAGTCCCTTTCTTGGATGTTCTTTATCTTATCATTTTCCATGACATGTGTTGTACTGTAACAGTACAAATGTTATCTTGAGAACAGTGTTCTGTGGGTGCCATCCTGCAAACTGAATTTTCCTCATCCTCAGTTCTACTGTCACTTAGCAACCAAGAGGATTATCAGTGAAATTCTAAATAATATCTTGTCAAAGACGTCAAAACGCAAAATACATAATTAAATTGCTGAGGAAAATACCACCTTCCCTTTTGTTTTTTGTTTGATTTGTTTGTTTGCTTTTTTGTTTGCCTTTTGCATAGAAGATACGCAAAAAATTGCTAGTCATAGTGAATTTATACTGCAGTCTAAGGATCTGGAAGATATCTCCAGGAAGTGATGCATTTTAATACTCTTTAAGTCAAAAATAGTCCAAAGAGACATGGAGGTGGATCTACTGGAGATGCTGAAGAGTCTATGTCTTAGTGTAATATCAACAGTAATATCCTTCTGATGTTGTGATTCAATCAAATATTTTCTTCACAGGGGTCAGGGACACTTCACCTACTCTAAAAGTTATTTAGAGGACACTGAAAGATTAGAAAGATTATGATACCCTCTAAAATTCTATGCAAGAATTTTAGAGGGTATAATAGCACACAAGGAATTTGGATAAGGACTTGGAAGAATTGTGTCCCACTGTCTTAACCCATCATTACTGCATTGTGATTTGACTTCCTGAATCACCCAGACCACAGATTATCACTCAGCAATTCTGTTTAATGCCCACAACTGACTTCAAAAATATCTTTTCAGAGAGGCAAAGTGTCACAGAGGATGCATTTCATAGGAGATGGCTATTTAATCAGGTTGTAAAGAAAGGTTTTCAGTGCTTGATTACCCATTAAAATGTTGCTTTATTTCCAATTAGAATTTGCCCAACTTTAAAAAAGACTGAATTCTGTCCTTTTCTGTTAAGCAATCTTTATAGAGGTCATCTTTTCCGCATGGAAGCATTTATA